TCTATACGAACGCCACTACCAAGAAAACCTATAGTTCCGTGCAGGCCCTCTATTCTTCGCGCCGCCCGCAACCCAGGGCCTGTTCGCAGGCTACTTACGACAAGATCCTGAGGAACAAAGAGAGAAACAAGCAAACCAATACAACCAAAGAGCAAGGGATTTGGGAAAACCTTTAACCGGTTAAGCACTGAAGACTCGAGTTAACAACCAAGTTGGACCTCGTTTATTCGAAGTGAAGACAGAGAATTGAGCAATGTTCCGGCGAAATCGGGGCCACCTTCGAAGAACCAACGAGGACTTCAACAAAGCTGGATCTGCAGTTACGTTACCCAGCGAAGTGTCCACAGCTCCAGAATGTGGTGTTGAAGGACCTAGTAACTCAGCAACGGAAGCAGCGCCGAGAAAACCCACCACAGGGCCAACTGCAACACCAGAAATCCCACTCCTGACACCATGTTTAGTGTACTATTAAATTTAAAGTTCACCTTGTGAACTTGTCAAAACGAACTAACTACATTTGTAATACAACTATACGAGGGTTTATATAACCTACTTATAAATTCATGCATAAATGATACTAATACAATTAACCTATTGTAACAATAGCCTGCAGGCTTCTAATCTCTCTTTATAATGTAACGGTAGGCCGAGGATAAACTTTGTTGCACAACTTTGCACTCTTTTGACTCGCTTTATCAACTCTATGGTCTGGGGGATCCAAATCTGGGTAGCGTAACCAAGGTATAGTCGCACAATTGCAAGGTATAGGTATCGACTAGTTTATTCCCTTCCCGTAATTTGCTCGCCAACTTGCTTCCTCCAAGTCAAATCACTCGATACTCAGACACCAAGATCCTTTTCTCGACTCATAGATTTAACAACTTGACCACCAATGGAGTACGGATACTCAACAGATGTTTTCCTACGTGTGATACGCTGACACTTGCATTTCGATTGGTTGAATTTCAAACCATTGTTCGTGGCCCAACTTTGTTTTCAATATCGTTCTGAAGACCAACTGTATCTTGAAGCTTGTCAACTTGTTTCAGAACTTTGATGTCATTGGCAAAACAAGCCATTTTAGATGATTTTACAGTCTGGGGCAGATCGTTCACGTACACGTACAATAGAAAAATAACTGGGCCAAGGATACATGTGTAGGTAGATCTTGCGGAACTCCAGATGTTACCAGTCGCTCCTGTGATGTTGCACCAAGTACTGTAACGCATTGACTCAGGGCCTTTTTTAACATACAAGCTGGGGGGGGAAAATGCCCCCCCAGTCCCCCCTTGTGCCCCCCCACGAAATCACATTTTGCCCCCCCCCAGGAAAAGTCCCTTTTCCCTAAAATTATAGAAACAAACCAGCGAAGATTAACAAATACATAAACGG